TTTTTGTAGGTGTTTACTGAAGTGTGTGATTGATAAATGAATTTTTATATGAATTGATGTTGTGTTCATAGACGTCAACATTCGATACTCTTTCTAAGATAGTAATATTGTTCATTTTTTGGTTGAAGGGTTAACTCGTCCCAACCCGTGGCCCGCTTAGGGCTGGGTTGGACCGCTATTTTATCGGCCCTTTATTTAAAAGGGTTAACCTGTCCCAACCCATTCAACTCTCTAGCCCGTTAGGGTTGGACTAGGTTGGGTTGGGCCAGGCCATTTTGACACCTCTAATGGCAATAGATATGGAGAAAGAAGAAAATGAGGTCGGGGCAGGGATGAGAATAATAAGAAAAAAGTAGGTGGATTTCAGGAAAGAAGACGATTCTTTTAAAAAAGATATTTTAAGTTTAAATATGACGTTCACTTGCCTTCAAATGTGTGTAGTCACACTCTCTCGCCAACTCAATCACTTTAATGTCACGTAAATCTGATCAATAATAAAAGAAATTTAATATACTGTATTTTATTAAGTATAAGAATTCATTTGGTAAATAATTAAATAAAAAAATTTATAATACAAATATAAACAAAGTATAGGATTCATCATACTATTTCACTTTTCGCCTTTATTATTTGAACAGAGGAAGTTGGGAAAAACTAAAAAAATCTTAAAAACATGGAAGTCATCAAAAAAAATAAAATTTTTAAACAAAAAAAACGTGTATGCCAATAAACATCCTACATGTCAATTGTGTTATTAAATATCTAAACGCTAGGGAAATAACCAAAGAAATAATGACGCCGCCCAAATAACTAATTAAGTCCATATTCAATGGATGAATAAAGAACCAAAATTAGCAGTGGGTACCTACCTAGATATTAACGTTATGATATTATTTTTTGGCATAATACATAAATATGCTTTTTAACTTAGTTTTGAATTATATTTATGCCCTTCAATTTTGGGTGTGCACAAGTAGACACTTAAACTTGTATAAATTTGAACAAATAAACACACATGTCCTACATGTCATTTTTTGTCCTACGTGGTGTCTTACGTGTATTTTGTTATGTAAGACTTATGTATTTATTTATTTAAAAATTAGATAGTCAGAGTACCTATTTGTGCATTATGAGAGTTGAAGGTTAAAGTTAAAATTTGAAGCCAAAGTTTAGAGTTAAATATATATACCGTGTCTTATTTTTTTTCTCATCATTCTTTTGTTATATATGATTAACATGCATATGCTTTTAGTTTGATAAAAAATAGGAGTAATTAGTTGGACCGTATAAGCTTGAAGTTTTATTGTTTATTAAGACCGACATTTAAATGACTGTGTTTTAGTTTCAAATTCATGTGATTTTTTTTTTAAAAAAAATATATTTTTTTAAAAAAACTTACATGATCTTAAAAATCATTTAAGGGTAAAGAAAAAAAGTTAAATTAATTTTTTCATTTAGAGTAATATGAAATTTTTGTGGACATTAAAGAAAATGTCATATAAATTATTATTCATGAAATATTAAAATTTAGAGTTTTAGAATCTTGGTACCACTTAATTGGATCACTTTTTACCAAATAATTCCACAAGCATATTTATTATATATTGGTAATAAGCTAAAGAAAATCTTGAAGGACAAAACACTCCACTAGCTAATAGTTTTCTAGGTAATTTGTTATCGAAATGCAATAAATAAAAATATCAGTTAAAATATTTGTGTATCTCAGCTTTTAAATAAATAAAATTTTGATAGTTAAAGATAAAATTTATTTGCATAGCGTATTCATATTAAATTAATATATAAAATTTTATATTTAAATTTATAATCTCATTTTATTTTATTAAATTAAGTGATAATAAAAATTGGAGCGCTCGGCTCCTTCCATTCACGTGGCTTGGCCGACTCCATTCTCCAACTTCTTCTCTATTTATTTATTTATATTATATGCAGCCGACGATTTTAAAATCAGCTTACCTACTACGTACAATTGAACATATTACTTTTATTTTTTTCTTCTTTTTCCTAATATAAAGACGACGACGGTTTTTTTTTGCAGATATCAATAATTTATTTTACAAAGCGATATATTTTCATCATTCAAATTTTGGAAAAAGAATCTAAAAGATTTAGCCTCATGAAAGGGCAACTTTGGTGTCCTCTCGTGTCAGGAATTGGACCTCACAATAATTACTAGTCATTGATATATGGAATCACATTTTTGATCTAAAAGCATACAATTATTTCATATTTCAATAGTAATATGTGTTTTTCGTTGAGCAAAGGTCTAAAATATGTAATAATAATAATAATAATAATCTAATCTACTATCTAGTTATTTTCATTTTACTTGATCTTTCTTTCATAATTACCCAGATATATTTTTCTACTATGAATTATGGTGTATATACGGGGGCGGAGCTACTAACCCTCAGTGAATGGGGTTCATCTGAACCCCTTTCAGCGGAAAACTATATTATTTATACATGGTTAGAATAAGTTTATATATATACATACTAAATGTCGAACCTCCTTTTGGCTATCTATTTCTAAAATCCCTTTATTGAAAATCCTGATTCCGTCTATACGTATATATATACTTTGGTTGCAAGTACACGTTACCCACAAATCACAATATCCCAATGGGGATGGGTGTATTATTCCAAATCCAATGTAAAAATTTGAGTTTGGGCCATAGAACCTCATGTTATTCACACAAACCCACGTGCATCCCACGTGAACTCTATTCCCTACTAAATCAAATTGATAAAAAAAGACCACTTTATCTTTGGCCCTCACCAAATTATTTTCGCCAATTCAATGGTGAACTCCTTTTTCTTACCAACTACTACAAATATTGGGACCAAAATGATCTTTTCTCACAACCTTATTTATTTTATCGTGTCAATATTTTATTCGCAATCTATTTTTTTTAAATATTCTAATAATATAACTAAAATTTGTTAATAATAATACGCAAATTTTATACATTGAATCACAATAACAATTAATAGGTGAAATCTAAAATTTTAATGATATTTTAATTTTTATAAAAAAATATAATTTCTGATAAAGTTTCGATATACATGGCTATGCATGCTAGTTAAAGAGGGATGTGCTTTAAATTCTGTTTGACAAATGCTTGGCCTATAAGAGTAGTTTTTTTTTTTGGAAAATAAATTCAAAAAAGATGTGTGAGGTCCACGAAATGAAAGCTCAGACTGTACGGACATGGGGCCGCCATTTAGGGGCCAGGTTGTTCTAAAGATAACTAACACTGAGCAAATCCACCAGAGGAAGTTGATCCAATATTAAATATTGTTCAATTTTAACTTTAGAATTGTAGTTCAAATCATAAATAAATAAAAAATGATGGAAAAATAAGCAACAAAAAAATACAATAAGCAAAATAAAATAAATGACCAAAATATAAAGATATTTTAAACGATAAAAACTTACTAGTGCAAATATCTACATTCAATTGTATCAACTTAGTGTAGGTAAATAATTTAATGAGGTAGAATATATATTAGTTATCGTGGTAAGTGAGAAATACTTTTATATAAATACATATACATATCAATTTTTTTATTTACTTTTGTTTATCATATTTTAATTTAACACACTTATATTAAGAAAATGTACATCAGTCATTCTTATTAACAGTAAATTTAATGCTTTTAGATTTCAAAGTAAGTTTTATGCAAAAGGCAATAGACATTGCGTCATCTTGAATTTTATATTCCATTTTCTGAAATTATGGATTATTGAAAAATTGTATGTTTTCTTTATTTCAACTTCAATTAATTAATTATAGACTAATTGTTTTTTATTAATAATTTATGTTGCTAATTATTGTAAAAAGGAAATGGGGTCAATAGATGTCGTAATCCGTGATTAAACAAGGTCTAGTCCAAATACCATGAAAAGGAATCAGCAGTCTTCATATGATCCTTTCATATCATATCAAATATTGTTTCATTTTACTGTTTATTTCAATAAATTATGAGGATTTTTCCATATTATGTTTAATATTAAATACTTATATAAAATAATAGCAACATTCAAATTTAAAATTTCAAATATCATTAACCATATTAATCTAATAAAATACACATCTAATTATTTTTTAGGTGGTACGTGTTACTTCAACATAGACCAAATACTATGAAACGAAGGGAGTGTATATATTTTAAGCTGGCTATTTTTTTTTACCTTATTCATTACTTTTTAGATGTATACCCTCTACTTTTTTTCCTCTGTTTCATATTAATTGTGTACGTTATTATGAATAGATATTTAAATTATTCGTCAATTTATAAAATTAAGATAAGTTTAATTATCTGTTTCTTATTTTATCTTTATAATACTTTCTTTTATAAAAAAAAAAGTGTAAACAAGTTTGTAAAGTTAAAAAAGATTTCTGTAAATTAGTACTTCCTTCGTTTGGTATTGTTTGTGATGGTTTCTATTTTTAGAGTCTAACTATAAAAACTTTGACTAACATTTTAATATGTATTTGTTCATCATATTAGTATACAAAAAATTGTAATTTATAATACTTTTCATATAGTTTTAGAATATCTAATTTTTTTTATTTAAAATATTAAATTAATGTAATCTAATTTACTTTTGAAAATTTATCAAATTGACTTTCGATAAGCATAACATGACAAATAATTCCGAACGAAGAAAGTAATAAAATTATCATGCATTTCTCGTGTTCAATGGAAAAATAGACAACTAATATGTTTAATAGGAGACGGAGAAAAATATTTCTCTTTCTAAACAAATTGAATAGAGTTTGCTTTTGTTTTCTTCTTCTTGTTTTTTGAAAATTACGAAAACAGCAGTTAATAGATTCTAATTGTTTGATACCCTCATAGCATAGGCATTAGAGCCACACGTTTAGTCTCCTCCTATATATATGTGGCATATCTAATCACATAATATATACAAATATAGATAAAAAAAAATATTTTTCTTACAGTCGTTGTTTGCATATGTGGCATAATCAAGATTCACGTGAAAAGTTGCAAATTGGTTATATAATTGATGAAATTAATGGCTGGCTATTTGAAACTCACGAGAATCTTGATGATGCTGCATCAGCAATAAACGACTATTGCAATTAGAGCATTGCAACGATACAGAAAAAATTAATACGACATGAATTAAGGAATGATCTATATATTTCTTAGATCGGGAACTTGTAAGTATACTTCCTAGTCCTTTATTCGTATGAATCTATATTTTCTGGAACTTTTTCATGTTCTTGTAGCTGAATTTCATTGTTGTTAATCTGTTTTTTCAAGATAGAGCTACTGAATTTAGATTCTCTTAGTTTTATCTTCTTTTTTTTAATATAGAAATCAATAATTAGGCACAAATCTTTTAAGACTGATTAGAATGAGTTTCAAATTAAATATCATTTTAGAAAAAGAAGTGCATAGATCTTTGGTTATTCTCTCAGCAGGTATTCATGAAGGAGAGCAGAGCAGATTCGAGATTTGAAGTTTATGAATTTTTATAATAATCTCAAATTAATTTGTAATATTAATTGGATTTACAATTAAATATTTGATAAATTTGCAAATATTGGATCTGTATATCTTAATCTGATTTAATTCATGTCTTAATAATGAAGAAAGGAGCTTTTTTTCTATAATCTAAAGTGACGTTAAATCAAAGGACAGTAAATATTTTAGAGTTCTGTTGATGCAAAATATTATTTGTGTTGTGTCAATTGCTTGTTTCATGGAATATTCTTCCAATTGATTTCTTTTTGTTGTTGTTGATGATGGTGAAAATAAGTCATAGATGTATATTTATTTATTTTACTTTTGTGGAGTGCATTGACATATAAATCTTAGATCTTTGTGATTGTTGATGAAAGAAAACATCAAATATATTTTAAAAATTTCTCTTATTGATCGGCCGGCTAATTTTATATTGAACTATATAATTATATTATACCTGTCGCCATACATTTCTAAAGCAACTATTGCAAGCAAAACTAAATTCAGTTCAATAATGGTTATGCATCTCATGGAAATATTTGCACATGAAAATTCAGTCCAATAAGAAAATGTAGTTAAAAAAGGACGATTATAAATTTACTAGTATGGAGTGTTTATATTAAATTATTATGATTTATTATAATTAAATAATTTAATTAATTTGATATAAATATAAAGTTAGATAAATATTTACCATCTCACGATATTAATCCTCTGAAAAAGCTTCTCAAGAAAGAGACCTCAAAGGGAGTTGAAAGCTAGTAATCTTAAACTTTTGGCTCTTGTTTGTTTCAGTGCACAAATTTTGAAGGCCAAAGATAATTAAGCTTGAAATTTTGCACATTGAACAAAACAAGGTTTAAAATTGAAAAATTAAGATCACTCGCGATCAACATTATAAAAAAAACTTATTTGGCAGGGGAAGATCCCAATGAGCTACATTTCCAAAAATGCTACTATTACACCCTAATTGTGATTATTCTTAATTTGATCTGAGCTTTATGGATTTTTAGAATCATGGGCTAAAATTAAAGGCCTAAATCCGGACAATTATCTCCCTGAACAGCTTAATTTCAATCAATTGTTCATGTGAAAAAAAATCAAATTATACTAAGAAATTTTAATGACAGAGTTAAACTTTTTATGAAGAAAATTCAAACTAACAAATAAATATAACGGTTAACTTTTTCGAAAAAAAATTAAATGAATTCGATTCATGTCATTGTCTCAGACTTTTCTTTTAGATTCTTAATCTGTCTTTTTCATTCCACTTGTTGCCAGAATACTAGTAATTCATTTTCCTCCATTGGTATATCACTTTCACTTCACCTTTCAATTAACTCACTCAACTATATATATCTAAAATTAGATGCAATTTCCTTCCCTTCAAACTTTCCAAATGTCTTTTTTTTTCTTTATTCATAAATTAGACGTGAATTATTAATTTTATTTTTGAACTATTTAACAATCTTAAAATTATCTTTTCATTTGACTAACTGAATTTAATTACACTCCAATCTTACAACATGAGTAAAATTTACTTTTAAATTCTTATTAAATTTCACGATGTTTTCAACCCTTCTTTTAAATTTTTATCAAAAGTCTCATACTCCTACAAATTTTAAGATCACTTATTATGACACGTGACAAACCAAAAATTTCAATTCAATACTTTTCTCTTCAAATTTTTTCCCCCACGTAATTTCAGAAAACAAAACGTACAACCTTGAAAGAACCAAATGCTAGCTCCACTAATATGTCTCAATTAATAATAATTCCATGTACCAATACAACAAACGTAGCTTTCTTTCTTTTCTTTTTTTTTCCCCTCATAATTTCATGAGTTATTCCTTTGATTTTTTCTGCGTGTATGTTTAATTTAGAGGGGGTGGGGATCACTATTATTAAAATGGACAATAAGCCACGTAACAAAAATAGTCGATGCAAAATGTATCAAAAGAGACATGACAATATATTTTTATTGTCCTTTTGACATTTTACGTCCACAAATTGGTAACAACTTCAGAAAATGAAGGGGAGCTGCAGTAATTAATAGTACTATAGTGGTCCATTTAAAAATTTTGGTGGTCCATTTGTAAATAAAGATTCATGAGGTCCTTATCATGAAATATCACGACATATGAGTTGATGGCCAAATTAGAAGTAAAAATTATGCATAGTGTAAAACATAAATTACCTTCTATCCCTACTTTTTTTCAATTTACAAAAAGTCCCTTATTTTTAAGAAGTTTCTGA